TCTACTAAAAGAAAGTACAAAAATTAGCCAGGCACGGTGGTGGGCACCTGTAAACTCAGCTACTTGGGAGGCTGAAGCAGGAGAACTGCTTGAACCAGGGAAGCTGGGGTTGCAGTGAGCTGAGGTCACGCCACTATACTCCAGCCTGGACCACAGAGCAAGACTGTCTCAGCGGGGGAGGGGGGACCTGCAATAAAGGCTAGAAAAAACATCAAGCCACTCTAAGGCATATGGGGTGGGTTGGGGGAGATGGAGAGTCCTAAGACAGGGGGTCAAGGAAGGCAGACTCCTCATCGTTTCTGTCATTCCCTGATTTTTCTGTAAGATGGTCATTTCGAAGGAAACATACTTCAAAAAAAATGAGGGTGCTGAGTTTCTACGAACCTCTCCCCCAACCAAAATCCAGACAAATGTCCATGGTCCTCGTGTCCCCTAACACAGCAGTCCCCTACCTTTTTGGCACCAGGGACTGGTTTCATGGAAGATAATTTTTCTATGGATGGTGGAGGCGGGGTGGAGAGGCACAGGGGAGGATGGTTTCAGGCTGAAACTGATCTACCTCAGATGAGGCATGAGATTCTCATAAGCAGCACGCAGCCTAGATCCCTGGCATGCACAGTTCACAACAGGGCTCACGCTCCTGGGAGACTCTAGGAGCACTCCTCTGACAGGAGGCAGAGCTTGGGTGGTCACGCTTGCTCACCTGCAGCTTGCACCCTGCTGTGTGGGCAGTTCCTAACCAGTCCAGGGCCAAGGGTTGGAACTTCTGCCCTATCAGACTGGGAGCCAGGTGCACACTGCTGCATGAAGGGGGCACCGGAGGGGTGCTGGGAGAGGAGAGCCGCCCATCGCCCAGGTGGCCTATGAGGGGCACCAGACCCGGCCTGGTGTGGCCCCAGCCAAGGGAGTATCCTGGAGTTCTAGAACCCAGCCTTGCATGGAGGCAGACAGGGCCTAAACACTGCTGTGAGCTGTTGCTGTGCCCAGTGAGCAAGGACAGGCCTGAGACTACGCCAGTCCCAATATTCTAAATATGAATAATTAAGACAAAAACTCACCCCTTGACTTCCTTGAAATCGGATCGATGGCCTCAGTGAAACAGAATCCTACAAAAAAAGAAAAAAGAGGTGAGGGGAACGTGAATAAAGACACTGGGAAACTCAAAGCCTCCCTCCCCAGGTCTATAAGGAGCAGGATGAAGACGGTGCTCTCAGGAGAGGGGAAAGGAAATGCACACACTCTGAAAAGGACAGGCAAGGTCACTGGAGCAAGGGTTTTGGAAAGATCAGTAGGAGTTCCTCAGATGGACAGAGGACTGGGGCCACATGACAGGTAAGAACGAAGCCTCCAGACACAGGCAACAGGCAGCCCCAATGCCAAGGCTGGCGAAAGGCCCAGGATGCAGGGGTGGGGAGTGTGCCATCCTTGGAAGCCACCACCAGCCTGTGACTCCACATAGAAAGGAGGGCAAGGCTCAAGGTGCCCCACAGCCCTGCCAGAAAAAGGAATGGCAGGTCAGGGTTGACCCTGGATCAGGACTCTCCCAAGGCCCCATACAGGCAAAAGCAGCCCCCCTCCACTCTCACAGCCCCAGCTGGTCCCCGTGAAGCCACCAACCCAGGCTAAGTCCTGTCTCACAAACACCAGCTTTTAACACCCAGGTGGGTGAGCACTGTCTGCCAGAGTGGGTGTGGAGGGGCCACCTTACAGCCTGGGGTGGGAGCCTGAGGCCTGCACAGCTCCACCGCATGGCCTTGGGGCAGCCACACGGCTGCAGGGCAGCTGGTAACTGCGCTTGGAGCAGTGGAATTTCCAAGGAAAAAATAAACGAAAGAGCTCAAAATAAATACTGACGTTTCAGCCACTCAGAGACCAGCCTTCTGGCAGCATCTGAGCAAGAACTGGGACCCAAGAAGGACTGCACCTCTGCATCTTCCCTCTCCCCCACCTGGGGCCCTAAGCATGCACCTTAGTGTCTCAGATGTCACCCCACGGCATGGCCCTGGTTGGTCGCCATGATCTTCGGCCCCCAAACCCACCCCTGCACCGCCTGGCCCCAGTGCCCCACTCAGGTCCAGCTCACTGAGATGCCCTCCCAGCCAGGCCTTGCTTCTGTCCTCAGAGTACCCCCATCCTGGGCTCCATCTCCCACTGCTCAGGTCTCACTCCCTCCTACCCTGGCCTGTCCCCAGCTCTCCTCAGAGAGCAAAGTGCCACCTGAGTCTGGAGAGGCCTGCTGGAAGACCTGGGGTAAGCAGAGCAGCTCTGCTCCTGGGCCAGTGTCAGAGACAACATCCACCCCACGGGTCAGCCCAGGGTCCTCCCTCTGGAGCCACTCAGCACCGTTCCAGGACTCTGGCTTGAGCTGGCACAGGGCCCTGACCTTTGGAAGGGGTGGGCTCTCCAACTGCCCACATCCAGTGCCCACTAGCTGGGCACGAGGGGAGCTACTAGGAGCAGGGCAAGCTGCCTGGGACGTGAGACATAGCTGGCCTCTCAGCACCTGCTCCGTGGTGGCCCTGAGCCATGGGTCTGCTTGGCCAATTTAGACCATGCAGCCATATAGACACGACATGCATAGTGCCCAGAGTGGGAGACACCAAGCACCTCACTTTTGTCTACCAGGAGCCTCCTTCCTTGCTAAAACTCCTCAAGGATTCTGCTGCTTAGGGAAGAATAGAGGGGTGGTGCCCCTGTGTCCTAACACCACCCAGGCCCTGATGCCCCAGAAACTGCCCCATGCTTCTCAAGCACACCACCCCTCAGCAGGCACACAGGCCCTCTTCACAGCGAGCATGACTCAGGGTGCAAGCCACCACTGTCCATGGCACAACACATCCACAGCCCACTCCCTCTCCTGCTCCAGGACCAGGAAACAGCTGCTGCAGGCACAAGGGCCATCGTGCTGCTGCAACAAGGCGGGGGCTCATCCAAAGCAGCTCAGGAAGGGCTGGCCCTGTCCCCCAAAACGTGACCCAACCACTAGCTGGTGCTGCTACTGCAGAGAACAGGGGACCTCAGCCAGGCTGGGCCCTTGGAGAAGCAGCACCTGAGTGATCTTTGCTTAGAATTCGGTTAAACAGGCAGAGCACGGTGGGTCACGCCTGTAATCCCAGCACTTTGGGAGGCCGAGGCAGACGGATCACTTGAGGTCAGGAGTTTGAGACCATCTTGGTCAACACAGTGAAACCCCGTCTCTACTAAAAACACAAAAATTAGCTGGGCGTGGTAGTGGGTACCTGTAATCCCAACTACTTAGGAGGCTGAGGCAGGAGAATCACTTCAACCCAGGAAGTGGAGGTTGTAGTGAGCTGAGATTGGGCCACTGTACTCCAGCCTGGGTGACAACAGTGAGAACTAAAAAAGAATTTGGTTAAACACAGACATGAAAAAGAGAACTACAGGGACTAATGAAGGTGTAAAAGACACCGGATGCTATTACTCACCAGGGAAATGCAAGCTGTAACCACAGTGATCTAGATTAATGGCCATAAAAATTAAAAAAAAAAAAAAACGCAAAACACTGAGATAGCACTGCACCTATCAGAGCAGCTAATCCAAAAGAGGCAGACAAGAGCCAGTGTTGGGGCGAGGACCCAGAACCTCTGCCGTCATGGGCGGGAACGGACCAGGCTCAGCCACTGTGGAAGCTACCTGGCAGTTTTCTAAAAGGTTAAACAAAGGGTTACAAACACCCAGCAACTGCACTCCTGAGTACACACGGAAACACACTTCTGTACAAAAACTTATACCTGAATGTTTACAGCAGAATTATTTAGAGTATCCAAAAAGCGGCAATAACCCAAACGTCCATCCACTGGTGGAGAGAGAATCAAACAATGGAATATGCGGGACCTTGCAAAGAAAGAAGGCTGCACACTACGCCACAGGCTGTATAACTCCATTTCTACACATCTCCAGAGACAGAAAGCCCATCAGTGGGCATCCAGGGCTGGAGGTGGGAGTGGGGAGCAGCTGCAGCCAGGCGAGGGTAGAGGGTCAAAACTCACTGACTATGCACAAGATGGAGACGTTTGAGAGGGTGTTCGCGACACCTTCCAAACAGCCCTCGAGCTCACAGGGGTCGTCTTTGTTGACTCAGAGCACTGGAGCAACATTCTCTGACACACATGGCAAGTTCTGGAACAGGTGGAGGAGAGGGCTGTCCGTTAACCATTTCCAATGCCTGAGTGAAAGGGAACTGGGGTAAAATGCAGGAACCACATAAAGCAAAGGAAACACCAAGGCAGAATGGCCCTGCCCATGCCACTCAGGGAGCCCCCTACAAACTCACAGCAGCAGTCCTCACAGGCCCAGGGAGCAACACAACCAAGGCCAGGCGGGAAGGGTGTTCTGGAGGAGGGGCAGCAGGGGCAGAGCCTGGAGCAGGGGCTCCAAGCAGCGGCTGCAGAGAGCAGGTGGCGCCCATCTCTTGCGGCCCAAACTTCTGCAGAGGGGTTGGCTCGGGGCTAACGCGAGCACCCTGTCTACTGTCCATGTGATGCCTCTGCATGTGCGGCTGTGAGCCAGGGATGAGGGCTGAGAAAACAGTGATGATGACGAGGCCAATCAGGGTGACAAGGTACAGGAACCAATGAGGGTGCACAACTCCCCCCTCCCACGGAACTGTGCCAGGGCAGCCCCAGCTGTGCAAGGCTGAGGGTGACAGGCCTCAAATGCACTGACCCTCCCGCCCTCCCCGTGGCTCCAAGCTCCCTGTAGGCCATGCCATCCAGTGAGGCATTTAACTATGTTCTCATAGCTGACTGTCAAGCGGGTCACCTGCAAGACTCCTTTCTTGCCAAGATGCTCATCCCCCAAGGGTATGGAGAGCGAGACTTCCTGCCTCAGAGGAGAAGAGCTGAGGGGCCGTAGAGCCAGCCTTTCTCCCTGATGCTGGGAGGACTAGTGCCTGTCCCCATGAGAGCTGGCTGTCATGGCCGGGCTCCCAGCCACTGTGGCTCACACTGTATCCCCACCCTCCAGCAGGAGACCAGGCCCTTGTCAACAACAGATCAATTCACTCCCAACATCACATACACATGAGGGTGACACTCCACACAGGACACATCAAGCCATTAACAAACATGGGCACCAAGACTAATTTCTGTCTAAATCATGGGCAGCCCTGTGCAGACCATCGGGCAGAGACCCACCTCGTACGAACCCACCTTGTAGATACCCTTCTAGGGCATCTACAAGCAAAACCCTACAGACACGTGAAGCAGTGGGAAAACAAGACCCCTAAGCCGGGGGAAACTGAGTTAGCAGAAAGATGTGGGAAGCACAGAGATGCTGACCAGACAGGGCCTGGGGACGGCTACTGTGAGCTCAGAATGTCCAGCACCTAAAGGCAAACAGCTGAAGAGGAAGAAGTGCAGGCATCCTGAGAGCCACGAGGGGTTTCTGGAGCTGAGAAACGGAGCATCTGCAACGAAATGGCCACTGGAAGTCACAGCAGGCAACGCAGAAGAAAGGGCAGTGAGCCTGAAGACAGAGCCACAGGAGCCACCAAGACGAATCCCAGAGAAAGAAGCCTACAGGAAACGAACACCACCTCGGTGACCTGCAGACAACAGCGGGGGGTCCCACGTACAAGAAACTGGAGTCTCGAGGGTGGCCAGAAATTCCGTAATGTACCGAACACTATAAACCCACAGACCCAAGAGGCCTTGTCAGCCCCTAGCAGGAAAACAAAGAACCAGGTTGGGGCACATCATGAGCAAATCAGCAGAGCCATGAAAGTCACCCCAAGTGCTGACACCAGCCCCAAGACTGGGAGCACATCTTCAAAGTGCTGAGGGAGAAACACCACCAAACCACACTTCCATGTCCGGTAAAAAGAGAAGGTGAAATAAAGATTCACTTAGACAAACGCCAAGAGAATCTTCTGTTGGCAGCTGGCCTGCACTGTGAGGAAGGTTCTAGAAGTTCTTCAGAAAGAGGGAGATCTGCAGAGGATGACGCGGGCACGGTAGTGTGCATTAATGGGAAAGGCTCTTTTCTCATGTTTCTGCAAAAGATCATTCAAGGCATAAATAACAGCAGTGAAGCTGGGGTTTCAAATGTGGGGTGCTAATAGATGGTGAAGAGAACACAAGATGGG